TTGATTGATGCCAGCAAGAAACGATAGCGAAGAGCTGTGATAGATAACAATGCACAAGGGGAGATAACTTTTGAAGTAATAAAAACGAGCAACTTTCAATTTAATTGCTTAGATTAAAGGAGATATTTCTCCCTTAACACTGACTGCATACAAGTTTGCTTTATGGAGCAAGATTATTATTTTACTAAATCCTATATTACATTAAGTGCATTGGGTTAACATCTTATCAGAAACCTAAAAATATGACTTTACATAACATTAAAAGTAACAAATTCTGTATATTAAAATAAACTCCCAGGAGCTTAAAACTGCAATCTAAAATTATATTTTTTTAAAACTCAAATGTGAAATTTATTTATTCAGTAGTTGTTCGCATAACCCATGATATCAGGGTAGGCATGCTTTAAGAAATGTGTCAAAACTATCAATGTTTATACAAAGTGACAATAAAGGAAAGCCCCCCCCCCCAAAAAAAGCCCTAGAAAATGAGGGTTTACTGTTTAGCCATAAAACCAGTATCCTTTAGTAGTGGATTATCATAGAAAAAGCATGAATGTGTTAAACTAAATAAATTGGAAATGGACAAAAAGGCAAATAGAAATATACCAACCCCTTACGCCAATTTGAGAGCTATGTAGAGCATCATTCAGAAATATTTAAAGTATCATTTGCAAACATGTTTTATCAGACCCACAATTAAAAATGGCTTCAAACAAATATTAATCTTAAAAAGATCTTTCACTAAACCCTATAAACTAGTATTACAAAATTACAAATGATGATCTTTACTAAATAGCCAAAAACCCTTCATTTGAATAATTCCAACAGTAACAAAAATGGGTATAGCTCATGTCAATACAAGATAAAAGAGTGATATAATCATACTGAGCAAAAGGTTTGGAAGAAAACAGTCATCAGTACTGGAATGAATAACATTTACTGGACTTGAGAAATCTAATTTCCTAAAAAACTGTTTTAAGAAAAAGACAATATAAATTTCAACTGACAGCAAGGCAAATTCTTTGGCCAATGAATGCCAAATATTTTCAGTATCAAAACAGTTAATTCCACCTAAATTGAACAGACAGTGAGCATCAGGATTTTATTTTATAATGGGTGCACACACACAAAAAAAAAAAAAAAAAAAAAAAAAATCAACCTAACATCAATATAAAAAGCGCATAAATTATTTTTTTTAAAATGAATATAAAAATAATGAGAAAATTGTCCAACATTTGCCAATATCTGACGATTGGATTGAACAATTGCATAAAGATTAGTCTACAAAACTCGGGAGCTGACGTGCTGAATATAACATTAATCAGCTAAGTGACAAATTTTATATTTGTATTCATTTTATTTATTTATATACAAGACATAGTGAAGTAACGAGTAGAGCTTGAATCTGAGAGCAAAGTTCTAATTCCAGGCGAAGTTTGTTAAATTCACTTATGTACAAATACCCTTGGGTATGAATCCATCTCTTCTTCCCCAACCCATAGCTATTGGTAAATAGCAGGACAGACTGGGTCCTATAGCCTTGGGTGGCAATGATTCCAAGAAGGACAACTCTGAATTCAAAACTTGTGTAGGGCCATTTTAAGGCCTTGTGACACATTGCATGCACCAGTTTTATGCATTTGGCTCTTCCAATAAGAGTGGGGTTACTCTTAAACAAGCCTTCACCACTATAATCAAATGTGTATGGATAGTACAGGCTGTCCAGTTTTAAGAACTGAGTTGGTCTACTCTCATAAGTTGAAAATGACAGGAGAGTTTTGTGTGTGTGTGTGAGTAATAGCTGACCACTTGTATTCGAGGATACCCATCTACTAGGTCAGCTAGCCAATTCCTATTGCAGACTATTGATCAGGCACATTTGTGTTTGTTCAACACCCACAGAACCAACCTGTGGTTTATACTGCAACTATGCTGAGCAGACTTTAGTTACAGTTTCTAGGAGAAAGCATGTTATCTAGAATGATCAATCTAGATAACACCAGCACACTCAAATCCTCTGTCACAATGACTCTTGACTTTGTGCTAGCACAGTTATCGACGGCCCCAAGTGTTCAGTCTACCCAATTTCACTCACAAAGCTTGGGTCAACCTGTGTTATGGTTCACAGGCACTTTCCAAAGGAGCTGCATGCTGGGATCCTTTCCCGTCCAGACCAATATATATATATATATATATATATATATATACACACACACACACGAAAAAGGTTTAAATTTTAATGCACATGTTTTAAGTTTATGAGGATGTGCATGAGCACATTTTGGTCTCTTTAATTTGTTGAGTGGTAAAAGACTTGCCTGTGTATATTTTCACGAGAGAAGTGTTTCTGCTTAAAATTCAAGTGTTTCCATCACATCAACTCCATCCTTCCACATTCACCCATCATAACAAATCAACGTTAAGCAGCAATAAACAAGTGGGTCTCGGGAAGTGTTCACAACAATTAAGAAAAAAACAAAAAAAAAACAGTTTAACTGCTAAATTCATGTTTACAGTTTTTAGAGTCAATGTATTTTTCCTTGTTTTTACTGTTTATCATCAAGTATCTTCTATGTGCAGTGTCCTTTCAGGATGCAAGTGATCATGGCTCTCCACAACTCTCCTAGCCTTTACATCTCTTACTAAGGTTTATCTTTTCGCTATCTCTCCTTATCCCTATTCTACCAAACATTTACACTAGCTCATTAGGTAAGTTACTCACAACTTTCCACTGTCCCTCTTGCCTTCATGATGTCCTGTGTGTGTCAAATTCTGAAAGCCCTCTTTCCTCATATACCTTAGGAATTTCAATTGTCATTTTCTGATGTTAAGTATAAGCATCTTTTGTTTCCCCCATGTTCCTTAAAACTTCATTGTTGCTGACATATCCAGATTATGATATTCTCCTTATCCTTCTGTAGGATCACATTTCTGTTGCTTCTTCATCTGCGAGGAGATTTCCAACATTCTATGCTATATAGGAGGGCCGTAAAACCAATGTCAAATAAAAAGTATGTGATAATATCTAAGCTTGCAAAAAAAAAAAAAAAAAAAAAAAAAAAAAATCAAGATTATAAAAGCAATTTGTATAAGTTCTTCAAGAAAGTAGTTAATAGATGAAAACTGCTTTAAGATGTTTTATATACAAGTAAGAGTGTTTGAGAGCAAATTCTAAAAATTAACCTAAACTTTAATATTGTGCTGAAATAGACCTTTTTCTCCTTACATGAAATTTGCATTATTTTTGTATTGTGTTAAAATCTCATGGAGGCATGCACAGGATTGGTCAATTGATTTACAGCTTAACCCTTTCTGGGTTATTTAAAACTGAAACCTATTCTTGATTTTGAGCACAAACACACACAACATTAGTGTTTTTTTGTTATTTTTTGAGAAATTTTTTTTTTTTTTTTAGATAAGCTGTATTTAACCTATATTTATGAAGTGGCAAGAAAAGAGATTCATACCTTTCCCAAGGGTATTTTGCATATAAGTGAATGTATTGAACCTGACCGAATTTGAACTTCTGCTTTCAGATTTCTCCTCCAGAGCAGCTATACATTACACCACACACATATCTGTTGTACACTGGAATACTCTCCAAATATTTACATTCAGTACAATGAATTCCTTATGGAGTAAATAATTTCATTTTGGGCATGAGAATATTCTGTGTGAACATATATATATATATATATATATATATATATATATATATATATATATATATAAAAAGATTGTGAGCATAGCTGCTCTCTTGCCCAGAAATATTTAGCGTTCATTACCATCAGTCAAAATTTCATAAAACCTCTCAAAGCAGGGTTTTTGAGGAAAAATCTCAAATCCTTTGTTACTGCTCTTTCTATCACTGATGGTACTTCCTTAACTTTTTGTTTCAAGTAGCATGGAAATATCTTTCACCATTTATATATATATATATATATATATATATATATATATATATATATATATATATATTATATAGATAAGATCTCAATTATGGCTAATGGGTTCCTAAAATTTAACAGGCTTCTAAAATGTGTCCCCACCCATTGTAAATCACAAAATGTAAGTCTACGCTCTATATTGAAGATAGGGTTCCTTCATGACAGAATTATCTCACTGCGTGGACAATTCTGTACTATTTAAAATAGTGGAATTTGTAATCTAATTGGAAATTACAATGAGAGGAAAAAAAAATGACAATTTTTCTCCCTATCAAAACTACATTCTTGTAAAATGTCCTTCAATGATTTCTTCTATTTAGCATATATAACCAGACATGGAAGAGATATTAAAACCCCAAATAATGTTTAAAATGCAATATGCTGTGTCTATGTGAGCTACAATTACGGCACACTCAGTGAGGATTCAACACACTATAGTAGTCTTTTTTTTTTTTTTAAATTAATTCTCTAAAGTTTTAAATCAATGCATATCAAATTCCAACATCCACCCAATACAAAGTTCAAGAGCCACTCAAGGTAGAGGGTTACTGAATGAGGTGTGTAATATGAATACAAGATAAAAGTGAACATTATGAGGATGAGGAAGACATAATTAACTCTTGACTTGAAGGTTAAGATTGCAATGTTTAGGGAAGCACCCACACAAGACTGTTTTGCGAAGTACTAGTTCTTAGCAGGTGGTTTTTGACATCTGATTGGAATTTCCTTTTTCACTTGAAACATGGTGGAAATGTGGAGGATTCAACTGTAGATATAGCATGGCAAGTTGTAGGTACAAATGTCTGAACTGACAGAGCTGAATTTTTATATGAATTCTTCATTGGATAAAGTTCAAACATATTTGCCACCAAATGAAGTACATTGACAAGGAAGACTACACTAAAAACAAAACAGATGTTTAAATATTTTTTCATCCTCATTCAGATGTACCTTTTGATCCAAACATCCAGACACCTACCATCACAACTACAGTGAATTGTTAATACTGTTTACAAAAGATTGTAAATTTATTTAGAGAATAAAATTTCTTACCTGTTTGTGCATTTCCACATTCAACCCATACGACATTTCGTAATACTGAGAAAAGAGAAAAAAAATAAAGTCAAATTGCATTTTTATTTAATTTTTTAAAAAAAAGAGCAAGAGGAAAAATATACAAAACATACATAGGAAATAAATTTAAAAAGTGAGCGATTATAAAAAAAAAAAAAAAAAAAAAAAAATGTATTCTGCCTTTCAAAACTCTGGCTTTGTGCATCTGACTATTCCATAAGGAACTTTAGAAAACATCAATTTAATCAAGATATTTCAAGTTAGATTAATAGATTGTAAAATAGGGAATGCAAAATTTTCCTTAAACATAAAAAATCTAAGTTGAAATTTTCAGACTGTTCAGTAAAGCTTAAGCAATCTATCACCTCTTTGCATTAGAGTTTATGCATACACAAAATAAAATAAATTTATATATATTAGTGTGTGTATATGTATGTATGTGTTTCAAAATTTATTTTTTTTATTTTTATTAATACAACAGATTTTATCACAAACATTCTTAGCAGATACCTATATCAGAATAGTATACACTTGTTTATTTAAACAGTATAAATAAATAAATATTTTCATTGCTTTGCATCCCCCTAGCAGGAGAAACTTGTTAGACATGATTTAGACCAACTAGTAGACAAAAATAAATGTACTGTTAAATAAACAAAACAGTCTATTCAAATACAAAATGTTTTGATAACAAAGATGAGGACAATAGTCTGCATGTAAAGAACTTTTCATCCCAGAAATCAGACAAATTTCTGACTATTGAGACAAAGTCATCAGTACATTAAGCAAGTAACTAAAATTCTACACAAGGTCAGTTCAAATGAAAAAAAAATTTTTTTTTTTTTTTTTAAACCAGAATGCCTGAATACACATGATACTGTAGCTAACAAAACCCACTTGAGATTGACAAGAAAAATCCAATCATGAAGATATGACAACTGGTTTTATCTTTGCTTATCTTAATGCTGAGCAACTGTATTAATGTTTGCTTACATGGCAACATTTAGAGTCAATAAAATTTCACTTGAGTTAAATATAATTGAGAGAGACCCATTATAATATTTGAGGATGTCCATATTGCCTTTGTACTGAGAGAGAGGTAGGACAAGAAAGCATAAGTTTTGCTGTAGAGAAAGTAATATTGCTGAGAGAGGGATATGAAAGAATAGCAGGTATCCCAAGGAAATAGTATAGAACTTTTTTGTGGAAGTGGGGTTGAAATTAATCAAATTAAATTTTAATAGAGTATTAATGCTTAAATCCTCTTGGCAGGTTGTCAAATCCATCTTAAAGCAAAAAAAAAAAAAAAAAAAAAAATTTAAGAGCCCTTTTTCCTTGTTAAAAAGAACTGTTTCAAAGAAAAATGTAAAGAATGTAAAAAATGTAAAAAAATGTAAAAATGTAAAGAAAAAAAATTTAACATCTTTGGATCTTCACCTAAAATTTATTTCTAATGAAATTTTGAAGAGCTTACAAGTGAGTCTGTGCTACCCCCACTTATTTACCAGTTTTAAGTGTTAGAATGGACACCATTAGACCAACAAGCAACATTGGTGAAAAGAGTAACCATTAACATTACCCACCCCCAATATGCTGTTACCAAAAGTACTCATATTAAACTACAAAGACTGCAATGTACTCAGTATTGTACTTATGTTAGACACTTGAACCTATTTATGACAAATAGCATAAACAATACACGCTATGCAGACCAGTCATTACAGGAAATGATGTGGGTAGGGCCACAATAGTGGAGTCACCTTCTGGAAGCTTTTTTTTTTGGGGGGGGGATATGCAATATAAAACAAGCCATTAGAAAACCTGAATTGGAAGCACCTGAAATCCAAATTAAAACCAGATGCCAGAACAAGAGTTTATACAAACTGCAGTTATGGGGGAGGGGTTGTGAAAAAAATCACCAAGCAACCCACTTCTGAAATAGTTTCTCTTTGGAAGGACTTCTATACACCAAAACTTTAGAATACTGAAAGCTGAGTATTTAATATTTGGGTTGAGTTTTAGTGCATAATGTACATATTGTATTAAACAAAAAATAAACATTAAACTGAAAATTTTTATAACAGCAATTTTTGAAAAGTACTATATCCAATACCAAAATTTCAACGCCATTATTCATACCCAAATGAAAGGAAGGACATTAAAATTTAAAAGGTTCTAGGGGGGGAATACCATTTATCCTATTATCAGATATTTAAAAAAAAAAAAAAAAGTCTAAAGTCACTAGAAAATGTCTTTCAAGACAGCCGGAATTCAATTTGCTAAAAACATAGCCACTTCAAATTCTTTGATTTTAGTTCTGTAGAAACATTAAAATAAAGCTTTAACCAAGTTCAGTAAATGAAATGAGTAATATTGCCTCAAGAGATTAATTTCCAAATCTTAAAGTGCATATTGAAGCAGTAACTATCAATATATTGGGATCACCATAGCTTCTTTTCATGAATGTTGAAAATAACAGCAAGCAAATATGTCCAAAGATTTATTTTTATAATTGTGAAAAGAAAATGACTAAATTTGAACTACAAAAATACAGTACCTATGAGGTGAATACAGAATTAAGTATTAAAAAAAAAAAAAAAAAAAAAAAAAAAAATCAATATTGTGGAATTAATTTAGTCATCAAAGTTTGAGCTTGGCATGCATAAGCTAACATTTTTATAGTAGTCACTGGTTCATACCATTCATGTATTTGCTGCTCAAATATACAAGTTATGAATTTGGGCAATAAATAAAAGCATGTACCAATCTATACCTATTTTTTTTTCTTTTTACAACAACAGAAAAGTTTGGTTTCATATTTGCAAAAGTGTATCCAGCTGAGAACTTTTCTGCATATTCCCCAACTAGGTGCATATACATGCACCCGCTTCAAGAGCAGCAAACAAAAACTTCATGACAACGAATTTGATAAATTACTAATTGTTATCTTGACTACTTGGTCCAAAGTACAATGAACAACATACTGTATATGTGAATAGCTGTTATGATGTTCAAGTTTCACTTTACAAAGGGTTAAAATAAAATGAACACAAAATTAACTGACTCAATAAGTACACACACACAAAATGTATAGAGGACTAGATTAAGGTAAGTAGAGAATATTTTTCTTTAAATAATTAGCTGTAATCTAGCCAGTTTTTACTATTCTAAAACATTGACTAAAAATTGCAGGAGAAAATTTTAAAAAATTATACAAGCATTTGAACAATGCATTCACTCATAGTATACAAATTAAATAAATTTAAATTCTTGTGTGCCAGAAGTTTTTTTTTATTTTTTTAGAGAGAGAGAGAGAAAAAAAAGATTGCAAAAAGTTTTTATTTTGTGAGTGAATATTGTATTAATTTTTGGAAGATAATGATTTTCAGATACAAGTCCGCTTCAAACACATTTCCAATTTTTCATCTAGCTGTTAACCATTACACCACCTGCACACCCAAGCTTAAAGCACCAGGTGCTCCCAAGCAGTCACTTATCAAGGTACTGACCAGGCTATATATTACTTCATTGAAAAAAAAAAAAAAATTAAAGAGATATATATATATATATATATAAATAAAATCTCTCCTCTCACCCACACACTGCGCTATTTGTAGAGCTATACCAAGGGAAATAACTGGTCAATTTTATCTCAAGAACTGTCTACAGTTGTGTACAGAGTTTATACATTGTAACCTACAACACTTAAACCCTAGAAGGATTTCTGATACACCTCCAAAACTTATCACATTGTATTTACAGAGTGACCAGCTAGTATATAGGTCAATGTACTTGTGTTTCCTTAAGATAGGCTTTCTCTTGAAGTGTATGGGTTAGGGCCTGTTAAGGAGGAGGAAGGAGAAGTGAAGTACCTCTTCATATCTTTATAAATTTCAAACAATAGTGCTCTATTTTTACAATTATCACCTACTACTACTATCAGTAGTAGTTGTGGTAGCAAAAGCAAAGCAAGATTTTTAAATTAAATCTAGGAACTAAATTCAGATTGGAGAGCAAAAAGAAAAGATTTATTACCCAGCAATAGTGAGTAAGCAAAAGGCTGAAGCCTAAGAGATAATCCATGAAAATAAGTACAATATGCTCAATTTAAAAACAAGAATTTTCAAAGATAGATGATTAAGTTTTCAAACTTAATTTGCAAAGCAAGAAAAATATAACTTTAAAAATAAGTTTATGTTTGGGTCAACATTTACACCCCTATCATATTTTATAAAAATTTCATAATTACTTTAATGCAAATAAATTAGTTCCTGTCAGACAAAGTTAAGTGAGGTGGTCTGTAAAATTATTGCCAAAATGATAATGATTTAGAATTCCAAAAACAATTCAAAGCATCTTTTGTCCCCTCCCCCTTAATCTTTGAAATTCTTAAATTTAGAATCATAATCTTTCATGTCCCTATGAATGTATACTTAATCATTAAGTGATAGATTCATAAAGTTAATCAGTTTTCTACTGAATATGTGAGTCAACAAACAATACTCATAAAAAGTAGGTAATCAGCCTAAGAGATTTATTCATATATATCTGCAACAGTCTATAAACAATTGTTTCAGTTAGTACTTAAGAAAAAACAAAAAAATTAAACCTCATTTTGTATAAAAGAATATAAATCATAACACACACACACGTGTGTGTGTGTGTGTGAAGTGAGATCAGGATTTGACTAGATAATCTACTTTAATTATTTTAGCATTGGCTTCAAAGACAAAACTAAAAGGTATTGTCCAAACAAATCTTAAATCTGGCTTCAGAAGAATAACATTGAACAATTTTAAGAGGTTATTGTTTAATAACCAGGTGTGAGAATTTGTTGATGTAACCTATCAGTTTAACAATTTTAGCAGCTGAGATACAAATATGAAGTGTAAAACTTTTGCAATTCAATGCCAAAAAACTGACTGGATTAAGATAATTATAAACTAGTAAAGACAAAAGTAATAGTATTATACAAATAAAATCCATGCTGGTAAAATATTTTACCAATTTGTAGATTCAGTAAC